AAGAAAACAAAAAGTTTAATGTGGAAAGTGGCAAAATTCTCTTGAGGTGTTCCTTGTTCTTGTTTTCTTCTATGCCTTTACGAAGGTAGATCGACCCATATTTTCCATTCCTTTATGAGAACATTATCTTTATTTCTTCATTGAATTCTCTTCTTTTTGTCCCAGGAGTTCAATCTCAAATTCATCTACAATATTTCAAAATATGGTTTAAGCTACTCAGGTTTCCCAGAATCTCTGAGACCTTGGACTTTCTTTGGGTACTGCTTCTTCTTAGAATATTTCACAAGAGAACCAGCATTTGAAGTTATTTGAACTGGGCTTATGTGCTTCGATGTAAAATCACACGGAGATTAAATTGGACTTACATCTGACAGCATGCATTGGTAATGGACAGATAGCCTTACGTCTCATGAGGAAGGGGTTCCCTGGGGCTTGGGAAATCCTCCAAGACTAGATTAAATACTGGCAAACACCAGGTGTAGCATCCAGAAGTTGGCATCGTGCTGTCCCAGATCACTCTTTTCTCTTTTGTGGATTTTCATTGAGTTTTTCTCTGACACCTCTTAGTGCTCTCTTGCTATGGCAATGTTTGTGGATTATATGTTTCTTTGCCTCTGACCTTAATCCTTAACCTGGAGAGAAACTTCTTTGGAGAGACAGAATTTGACACCCATATTTGTTATTCTCATTTCACTAGGCACATTGCCCATCATACTGTAGATTGAAACATTCCATAAATGAATAAATAAATCATAGCCATTTGGTTACAAACTTAGGAATCAATGCAAGGCATCGGGAAATGCTCTAGCAGCCAGGTAAAATGCATTGCCTCCTGCCTTAGGATTCCTGTCTCCTACTACTTGTAACTATAACATCAGCAATTTACTATGACAAGTGCTCTGGAAGGTTAGGGAGAAACAAAATAAAGGAAAATATGGTTATTTCTAGAATGTAGTTATACCCTACATCATGCAACAGAAAAGGAAATTCACAAGAACAGTGGAGCATCATCCATGCAATAGAAGAAAGATATGAACTGTCTTGAATGATATAGAGGAGGTGTGGTCCATCTCTGGGGAGTACTGAGAGAAGAAAATCTAATTTTCAAGGATGTATGTGAATTTTCCAGGTCCAAGAATGGAAAAGTTTATTCTATGTTGACCAACAATGCTCTGTGTGTGCCGACATAAGGAATAGGTATTGTCTGAGTGTGTGTGTGTGTATGTGTGTGTATGAACTGAATGTGTACTTAAGATGTGTGTGTTCATGTACATGTATTAGTGTATGTGTGTATGTGTTTACATGAGCACATGAGTGTGTGTTCATGAAAGGTGTATGTATGCACATGCCTACTATGTGTATCATTGTAGGATGAGCTGATTGCAGTGATGGGGTGGTGATTTTACTACAGAATAGGCAGTCTTTGAGGCTTGTAATTTGGCCTCTTCAGATGGTTTTCATCTTTTAGAAACCACCTGACAATGCTCACAGAAGTGAGCATAGACTGGAAGGTAGGACGTATGAGCATTAGTTCGAATTCTCCTCCACAAAATAATTGATCTTAAAAAAAAAAACACTGGGCCTTATATTCTAATGTGATTTATAAAGTTTTATGCTAGACAATGGAAAAATGATGGTTGAGGTCTTTTGCAATGTAGATTTTCCAAAAAAATTAAATCCTTTAAGATACTGTTCCTTTTCCTACATGTACATTTAATACCCTGATAGTTAATTTGTCAACTCAAATGGGCTAAGTGATGCCCAGGTAATTCATAAAATATTATCTCTAGAGATGTGTGTGAGGGTGTTTCCAGAATAGGTTAGCATTAGAATTTTTAGATTGAGATTGTCCTTACTAATATTGGTAAACATCTTTCAATCCATCAAGGACCCAACTAAAAAAAAAAAAAAATGTCCCCAGGAAGGGTAAATTTGCTTTCTCTTGAGCAGAAACATCTATCTTCTCTTGCCCTTGGACATTAGCACTCCTGATTCTTGTACTTTCAGACATGGACAGGAACCATTGGTTTCCTTACTTCTGCCTCAATTTCTTAAAAGGTAGCCTGTGAAAATATTCTCTAACTTTCCACAAGACATGTTCTGCTGGGAATCACAGGACAGAAATAGATGTGTCATGGATGGATCTGGATATTTTTAAAAATCCCTTTTGTGTTTTTGTTGTTAATCTTTTTATACAATTGCTTCTCTTTATTTCAGAGTTTGGAAGCCCAAGACTAATATTCTCATTCTCTCAGGGGTCACTAAAAAGACATACACCTGCCATCCGGGGCAACAGTGAACACCTTTCTGTCTAGACCAGAACTGTGGAAATGCATGACTCTTCTCCAGAGTTTTCTCTACTAAAGTATAACTCACACTCCACAACTCTGTCTTCCAAAAACTCCTTATGAAGACAGCAAAGGTGTTTTGACTAGAAAAGTCCAAATTCTTAATAGGGGTATTTTTTAAAAATCTTTTTTTAGTTGAAGATGGACACAATACCTTTATTATACTTGTTTATTTTTATGTGTTGCTGGAGATCGAACCCTATGCCTCAGGCACGTTAGGCAAGTGCTCTACCACTGCGCCACAACCCAGGTCCTTAATGGAGATATTTTAAAGAGAAAAACTAAAAGAAAAAGTAAACCAAATAGTTGTTCTGAAAACAGAAATGATTAAAAAGTCTCCAAAGAGACTGAATTGTACTCCTTTTTTGTTAATAATAATTGTTTTAAGTAGCTAAGGAAATGAAATGGTTAACTCAAAGGATAACTAGAATTTTGAACATTCTAGAAGCCACATCTTCAGTTAAATGTTCCAGGGAATTGTGGTGACTTAGTTGGAAAAAGAGAAGACTTGGGGGAACATGAGAATCCTCTTCAAATGCTTTAAGGAATTTTTTGAATGAAAGAATGTCAGTCTTATTCCAGAATCCAAGAGACAGAACTGGTGCAAATCTCCGTGCATACTTTCCTGCCTAACTCCGTGGGCCACATGTTTTGCTGTGACACATGATTGGCACTGAACCTGCACAGAGGCAGGTGTCTCTAGCAATGTGCAAAATGACTGAAGTGGCTGGAACAGAGTCTGAGATTTTTTTTTTTTCTATCTGTGGACAACAAAGGCTGGAGAGAGAAATGAACCTGAGTTTGATACATTTCTCTCCGTGCCTGTTGACATTAAGAACATTACTGAACCTCTTTGAGATTTCTTACCCTCAAAATGGGAACATGGCTCATTATTTAAGATTGTGAAAATTAAACACAACTTCTTGGCTGATTTTGACACAAATTGATACTTGCAAAAATGTAGCTGTTATGGTCATTACCTTATTTGAGCTTTCTACAAATTCTTGAGTACAAATGATTGTGTCTCTTGCAGTAATGAAAAAACTGGGGGTCTCGGAGGCTGAGTGAATTGGCTAAGATCACACAGGTAGCAAACTGATGGGACAGGAACCACACCTAATAACAAACCCCTGCCCCTTGCCAGGATTCCACGCTGCTAGACAGCTGGGGAAGTACTTTTATTATCAAAAAATTTTCAAAAACACAGTGACTTGTGTATTTTGGCCTCACAGGACACAGGTCTTTGTTTGGAGAAGATGCATCCAGTAAGTCTCTCTCACAACTCTATGGGGGTTTTACATCAAGAGGTATGTTCTAGCTAGTTCTATATTTAATTCAATGAATCCTTATTTCTTTACCCAAGTAAGTGCCCCTTATAGCAGACTCTCATGTGTTGTATCTGACCTAGAATCAGCATCATCAACTTCTGACTCAGTGATAATCCCCAGTTTGTAGCATCAAAATACTGAGATTTGGTGTTTGCTCCTTATTCTCTTTCATTGAATTGAAGGCAAAGATAGCCTGAGGGGGCTTGTTTCAAAGAGGATCCCCAAAGTCCTCAGCCTCCCTGTCAGGAGCACTTACCCATCATCATGTCCTTGCCAACAATATTCTTGGGAAGCAAAAATCCTGATAAGTCACTTGCCCTGAGTGGTGGCAGTTGTCTTTCCTCAAAGCAGGATTTATGAAGCTGTAGAGGAGAAAAGGGACCTTTCAAGTAGCACAAGAAAAAAGAAAAATAATTTATAAGTGGTTTATCTTGTTCAAATTTTTATTCTTAAATTTTAAAATTTGACCAAGAGCATTTTGAGTCACTCAGTGCCTTTGACTCCACAAGTTCTGGGATTTTTCTTTCCTTCTCCCTTCTCTGTTTTCCCATCTGCACCTCTGACTCTTGCTCGCGCTCTCTCTCTCTCTCTCTCTCTCTCTCTCTCTCTCTCTCTCTCAGCCTGAAAATTCTGGTTAGCCTTGGTTTAGGGTACATGCCGTGGTTTATCACTGATAACCACACTCTCGGGTTCTGAGGTACTGAAACACTTCCTTAAAGTAGAGAGTGCACGGACTAACAATTATATTTCAAGCTGCATTTAATGTTGAAGTATGAGACAACAAATTGATCTTAGATTTCTTCAGTGAAGCATGACCTCACCTCTGACTCTGGCAGAAGCCGCTGCAGTGTCAGAGCAGCCCTTGTGTAGTTGCAAAACAAATAAAAGGAAAAAACAAAGCCTCATCCCGGCTAAAAGAAAACAAAAGAGAAATGCTACCAACAATTTTCTCTGCATTTGCGGTACCTGCCTCTGGAAAAATGACAGACTGGGAAGCAGTCACAGAAACGTCCCTGACAACCCTCTAGGCAAACCACTCAGTGCGGTGGGTGGCTTCTTCTAGGCAAGATATGCTTCCATAGATATTTTCCTTGATAACCTGACTCTCCTTTATGGGGAGCAGAAAAAATGATGTATTCAAATATCTGCCACAAAAACATCTAACACCATGCCTATTCAATGGCTGAGAATTATCTGCATTTGGCTATTTTTTGAATCTCTATATGATGATAGCACTTGAACAAAAGAGGGAAAAAAGTACCCTGCTCTCAGCGGATGCAACATTCCACATCATTTCATTATTTCTCAGACAGTTTCTCTGAGGTAAATGAGGAGGATTATTGCTTTATTTGACACAGGGAGATACAAAATCCAAAGAGAACCTACACGTCCTGGAGTTGTGTACTTTGTCATTAGTGAAATCAAGAACGGAATCCTGTGACAATGAAAGAGTATACTTGAAGAAGACAAGGAAGAAAGGACAAAAGCAAGAAAGAAAGAAGAGAAAAAGGAGGATATCAAGCCCAGCATTTTCTCCCAAGCTACCAGTTAAACTTTTAACATAATCTATAATAGACAAAAAAAAGAGAAGGAAAAATGAAATGGTGACAATAAATTAAGACATTGAGGTTACATTTCAAATACCTTTGTTCTAAAGTAAATATGATTGTTCTCGCAAACTTTCTATTGTGAGATATTTTTCTGAGCCCTAGAATACTTTCTCAAATCCAGAATCAACAATAGAATTGCTCACCTCCAAACCTCCATTTTTAATATTGAAATAAGCTAAATTAGAATGCAGATTAAATAAAAACATTTTGACTCTTCCCCCAAATCAAAATTCATGATCCAGGTGTATTTCTGGTTGGAAAAAGGCAGATCAGACCTTTCCCAAAAGTTCCAGGATGGATGTGGCTCTCGCAGCCCCTCTCAGCCTGTTCCCAAAACTGCCTGCTATTCCAGGATTAGCTGCTGTGTGGCGTTAGTCCCCTTCGAATGAGCAGGCTCTGGCTTCCTCCAGCTCTGGCTCCTCAGCCTCCTTGCTTGAAAATGGTTCTCCCGGCTGTCACTGTAACAAACGGTTCTAATTGCTGGGTTGACTGTTATGGTGGAAATTGCAGCAGTCCGCAGTTGAAGGCTTTCGCTCTGCTTTGGTAATCACACGGAGAGCCAAACAGCTCCTTTCCTGAAGGAATAAAGAAGATAATCTTGAAAAAAAAATCGTAATAAATAATAAATCATTTTTAAAAGAAGCAGAAAGCCAACACACTTTCTGAACGGTTATAGTCTAATCTAATTGCAATGCATTTTTCCTCATGAAGGAAGGGAAGTTCATGAATCTGTTTTCTTGTATTCTTGGTGGTGAGGATGGTGGTGGTGGTGTTTGTTTTTGTCTGTGAAGTAATACATGGTAGGCAATGATTTGGAATTGTAAACTTTCCAATTTATTTTCATGGCAATCTGTGAAATGTGTCCCTGGAGGTAGGCAAACAATTGCGGTTTTAGAGCTGAATTGGCCTCTCTCTCTCCTTTCTTACATTAGAAAGCATGCAATCTCATTTTGAGTAGGATTACAAAATTCCTAAATTCTAATAAAGTGCCAGAGTAATATGTGATGGTCTGAGATAGTCTATATGTTATTGAAGAAACCCTCCCTGATGGGGAGAGGTAAAACCGGTAGCAGTTATTGTCAGATTTTACTGCCATGACAGAATTCAGGTTACAAAAGGCAATCCCTAATTTGGGAATTTAATCAGATAGCAGGCACCAAGGACAGCAGCTGCTGTTACATTAGCTTGGATAAAATTATAGGGCCTATCAATTCTCATGCTTCAGGGCATAAGCTGATCACCAGCTGAGGTCAGGAGGAAATTTCCCCAATGGCAGGCTTGCACAGTTATATCCATTATAAGAGATTTAACACCTACCCCTAAAACATCTGATGTGATTCATTACCAAATAAATACAAACATACAACATGTACTCATACAGATATACAAGTATGTACGCTCAAGGGACTGGAGGGACATGGAGGCGAGTCTTGGTCTAAATGTCCTGGTCTTAGATGAGTACGTATTAGGCCAAAGGAAATCATCTCTACCTAGTCTGCTCTCCTTTTTTGTTCATCTCTTTGTTAACTGATGAATGGATGGTTTCCAAGTATCCGCTCTGGTCATGTATTCATATTTACTCATGTGAATTCTGTCTTCTAAAATGAGTGATAAAGAACTGGCATCAGTTCTCTCTTGGTATAAAACATTGCTACCAGTGTAGCCGTTAACACGTGTTTTGTTTCATTCTTTTTGCAAGTCTGAGGTCTTGGTGTGGGTTAGTTGGATTTCCTGGGAATCTTAATCCATATTTCACATGTCATCAGGTTCTCCTTTGAAGTGCTGAACCCTCTTTTAAACTCACTGGTTGATGGTAGAAATCATTCCCTTACAGTCATGAGACCGAGGTCCCCAATTTTCTTACTAGCCATTATCAGCCTGGGACTAGTTAACCTTTCAGAAAGTCACTCCAATGCCTTGCCATATGATCCCAACAGAGGCGGTTCACAGTATGGATGTTTGCTTGCTCCTTGGCTAGTATGATTGAGACTCTTTGACTTCTCCCTCTACAACCAAAATGTAGAGTATAATTAAAAAAAAAGCAATTTTCTCATTACTTCCCCATATTCCTCCTCCACTCAAGAAGAGAGAATTATCAAAGGTGTTCATAGAAGGGGTAGGGTTTGAGCACCATTTTAGAATTCTGCCAGAAACAGCTAGTGAGCAGAAGAATCAATATAAATAGTGAAAACCTATTTAATTTGGCTGACTCTATAAGTTTTTTGAGGGTGGTGGCAGGGTGAGTACAAAGGATTGACTTCAGGGTCCCTAAATCACTGAGCCACATCCCCAGCCCATTTTTGGTTTTTTTGAGACAGGGTCTCACTCAGTTGCTTTGTGCCTCTTCATTACTGAGGTTGGCTTTGATCTTCCTATCTCAGCCTCCCAAGCTACTGCATAAAAATTATTTTTAACCATTCATGGAAATAGTCATTAATCTGTTACTAAATCTATCATCCATTGTCTACTAGAGAAGGACAAATCATTGACAAGTTTGTGAATATAACCATATAAAACAATCCTGGAATGGAAATTAGAGTTGTCTAGTTCACACTCTTTTGTGGCAGATAAAGAAACAGAGACTAAAGATCATTAGCTGGGTCAAATGGTGGTTCCATTCCCATCTTTCCAAGAAATCTCCATACTGCTTTCCAAATTGGCTGCACCAATTTGCAGTCCCACCAGCAATGAACAAGAGTGCCCTTTTCCCCG